CGCATCTTTTCCATCATTTAAGCTTGTGAATACGTAGCTACGCAAAAGACCCGTGAGTGTAAGTGCCGAATATTCAGAACTATATCCTTGTGTCACGGATAAGTCATCTATGAAAAGGCTGCATAGGGAACAACTCCACATTGAAAGAGGTAAAATATCCAAAATGAACGAGAGGAGTGCAGTATAAGGTAAGGTTCCGCAATCAATCTCATCAGATGTGCTAATCAGGGTGTATCCCTTTGAAACTAAGTTAATTATATGATCTTCTAAACTCTTCTTGTCGTCGCCGAGTTGGTCAATATTATGGCCTCGGAGCAATCGTATGTAGGCAAAGACATATTCCCAAGATGAGTTTTTCACAGAAGTTAGGTCGGTGATGGCTAGAGCATATAGACTGCCCTCAAGTTTTGGAAAAGATTCTGAATCAAACATAGGCAGAGAAGCAAGTTTAGTAAGCAAATTCAATGCTCCACTACAATATAAGGATGAGGGAGTTGGCCATTCAATGAGAAGAAGCCTATTTGTCCACGAATAAACATCAACCTGATTTTCCGAACTACCGATAAGATTAAGTAGCAATCTCATTATTGATTCAGATTCAATGCTAAATGAATAAGCAAAAGAGAGATCAAAAATATTATCTAGTAGCTTAGAGGAGATGGAACGTCGGAGGGGTTGGTAGAAATCGGAAGAATGAGGTGTGAATAGTAGGCCAATAATCTTACGTGCCGACATAGTGTCCTTCTTATCAGCCATAAGGAGAATTCCAGTCCATGATGACACTAAGTAGGACCATGTATCTCTGTTGGGAGGTAGCCCAGTGCAGAGTATCTTGTAAATAACGTGGGAAAGTGTGTAAGGAATCCTTAGGAGAACATTAATGCTCCGCTGAACCATATCAAAAGAGTTGCAAAGTAGATAAAGAATGCAAAATAATGTTGTGGCCACTTCGGGATGGTTCACCGATTCTTCGATCATATTCGATAATGCTAGTAAGGAAGTACCAAAAAGCTGAAGTGGGGACACCTTGAGGGTCATTTTATGCGATAAAATAGAAATAATAAATAGTAATTGCCGTGCGAATGGTTCAGCTATATCTGGAAGAAGTTCGCGTATTATATCTACATTAGGATTTTCATAGGAAATTGCATCAGCAAGGACGAAAGAGATAAATCTGACAAGTGATGTCGTGCTGAATATGTTTATGGAAACTGTAGCCAGACGAATAATAGTCTGAAAATCTTTAGGGGAAAA